GTCTCTTTTTCTTTTCCAGCCCTGGCCAGGTATTTAAGGCCAGGCCTTTTCCCTTCCCACTGCAACTTTCTTTCCCTCAGGTCAATAAACTCTTCTCTGCTTTTTTTTCTTTTGCAACCAGCTCCTCTGGCCTCGCTGGTCTTCCAACAGGATTTTGATATTCAGCCGCTGCACTGGCAACTTCATCCATAGAGTGCTGTGCAGCAACGAGTTGTGAATGTGGACCACATGGTCCAATGCAAACAGCCACATCGATTCTGGTGCACCAGCCTGCAGCAGCATCACTCACATACTTGAGACAAGAGTACGATTCAAGCATTCTGCCAGACCGTTCTGTTGTGGGTTGTGTGGTGTCGTCGTCGTGTGCATGATTCCCTTCTGAGAGCAATACGATGAGAGAGCTTTATTCACAAACTCTCCACCATTGTCCAAGTGCAGGCACTTGACCTTCGCGTCAAACTGATGCTCCATGAGCTCAATGTACTCCTGGAATCATTTGAACACATCTGACTTTGCATCCATGATGCAAGTCACTGTCAGACGTGAGAATTCGTCTGTGAATGTGACGAAGTATTGACGGCCCTTCCAATCGCCAACAGGCATCATCGCAACATCTGAGTGTACCACAGCTAGTACCAAATCTGCCGAACCAGTAAGCGAGCCCATGTGAGGCTGCGACATCACTTTTGCCTGCACACACACATGGCATTCATCTGCAAATTCTCCTGACAGTGTCATTCTGTGTGATTTTGCGAATTTGCACACATACTTCTCTGACGCGTGTCCCAGCATCTCGTGTGCAGCCATTACATCCACGGTTTTTGCGTATTTCGCACTAGCATACAATGCATGAGCTGTGACAGCACGAGCACCTCCGATCGACGGAGCCGATGCCAGTAAGTCCAAGTCAGTCACCACAGATTCAGTGAATGGATACAAACCGTTCTGTTCGTGTGTTGCAAGTATCGCTTCCCTGTTGCGGTATACAAATGTGTGGTCCTTCTCAAACAGCACTGATGCACCCCACTTCATCAAACGCGGAATGGATAGTAGGTTGAGTGCAGCATCCGGCACATAAAGGACATTGTCAATTGCAACGTCTCCGCCAACTGTAGCCATTCTGCATCTATGCACTGCCACGCAGCTTCCACCGACAGTACCAATGTATCTAGTCGAGTTGTCGAGTGTAACAAATGCTGACTTCTGGTTGCAGGTCGACATGTTTGCACCTGAGTCCAAAATCCAGGTGTTGCTGTAATTTGTCATCGTCATTGCCATGTGCGCTGTGAAGATCGCAGCACCTCCCAGGTTCAGTTTGAAGAACTTCTTTGATGGCGGTTTACTGCACCCCCCATGGTGTGGATCTCCACCATCGCTGTCTTCCTGGCCTCCATTGTCACGAAGTTCATCATTGCGCTTCTTGAAACAATTCTTTGTAATGTGACCGCATTTCTTGCAACAGTGAGAGATGCATTCATCGCTATTGCTGCATTGCGCAGCTGCTGTGAATTCTGATCCGGCACGATTACGACACGCTGCCAATGCATCCGCGTACTGGCAGGCTGCTGTATGAATCTAGGTCATTTTAAGTCGACGCGGAATGACATGTCCATAACCAGCCACAAGTGAGTGGAACCGTGAGCTGAGACCCGAAATGAATATTAGCATGAAGATGCTCTCCACGGTAAGATCATTCGTGTTGATCTCCAGCATCATCATATCGAAGCAGCTTATGTAGTTGTGTACATCGTCGTCCCCATCCTTGTCCATCTGCAAGTTGACAAGGTTGTGGATCCCATTCATGATCGCATTCAAATCTTGGATGTCATATGTGTCGATTAAGGTGTGCCATGCTGCATGTGCACTTCTCCTGGTTATCAGTGCAAGTATGTTCTCGGCCAACCCAAGGCGTAGGTACATCATTACCTGTCCATCGCCGTGGTCCTCGTCCATCTGCATCCAGTTCCTGTCAGTCTGTATGCATTCTGCGTAGGTCCATTCAATAAAGTCCGTCAGTCCCTTTGAGCAGAGCAAGATGGCCATCGACTCCTTCCAGCTGTTCCAGCCACTGGTTCCATCAAATATCGGCATGCGAACTGAATCCATCACATTGGGTATCAAAAATAAGCTGAAAAAATTTGAAGGCAAAAAAAAAGTGTCACTTTTGAATTTTGAAATTCTCGAATTTCGAAATTGTTGGAAAAAATAAACTTTGATGGATTCAAAAAACTAATGGATTCGCTTGTCCTCAGTGATAAAGTGAACATGCTGATAATGTTTTAAAGTTTGGACCACTGTCCCGGACTCCAATGATATTATAAGCTCTGATAAAAGTGGACCAAAGAGATAAAATGATGGATGCATGATGGATTCGCTCCTAAGTACCCAGGCCAGACCATCACGTGGTCACGTGACCCCAGGCATGTGATCACATGACTTTTGAGATGTGAAACTTGAAATTTAACACATGTACCATAGCTAGAATGTGTACCATGACTAGAATATGTACTGAGGCTAGAACATGTACCACAGCTAGAGATCGTACTGTGGATAGAGCATGCACCACTGCTAGAGCATGCACTGCTGCAAGAGATCATACTGTGGCTAGAGAGTGCACTGCATTGAGAGAATGCACTGCTGAGTGAGATTGCACTGCAGCTAAAGCATGCACTGCTGCAAGATTGTACTACTTCATTCATTTTGATGGCAAACCATTATTTTATTTCAAGAGGGCAAAGTAGTAAATTAAAGAGCATAAGGTATTGGGTAAAAAAAATTTACTTAGCATTCCATATAAAATCATAGGAGGCTTTGCAGTTGGCAACCATCATGTGTAAGGTGGAAGTGATTTGAGATTAAGAACATAATCATAAGAATCTGCAAGGGTGTTTTTGGAAGTGTGGAAAAATGGACTCACAAACAAATGCCCAACTCAGTTGGGAGTATGTAGGGTTGGTTGTCCATTTTTGGGCTGGTAGCTGACTCACATTAATATAATTTCTACTTGTTAATGTGGTAACCCCCAGGATTTAGAGCACATTTTAAGACAATTTTGTGAGTGCCTGAAAAGGGGAGACTGCTCATACCAACTAGGCTGAAGAGGACTAAAAAGCAGTGAAGTGGTCAGATCAGACAACTATTAATTGCTGGAAATCTGATGGACATCCCTCCAATAAAAATGCTGGGTAGAACAGGTTCCACCAAAGTGCATAAACTACACTGTAATTCATGGGGGTGGGAATATTAAAATTTAGAGCTGCATTGTGGCTGAGGGAATAGAGTTAATGGTCTAGATTAACAATATCTGGGATCAGGATCCTTACAAGGAAATTCTTAAAGACAATCTGCTCTCTGCAATTGCTCAGTACTAGCTACCAGTGGGTCAAATGGTTTTCTAGCAGAATAATGAACTGCACCCAGCCAAATAAGTCACATTATGGCTAGCTGAGCAGCCATGGGCAGTCAGGGAGGGACCCCTGCCATCCCCGAACCTGAATTCTCTGGAAACACCTGAGGACTTCGCTCCAGAGCTACCTTTATTGGGACTATGAATGCCCATCTTAGGAAATGCTCAACCACTTGAATAGGGTGGCTGAAACACAGTATAAAATTACCCTTTAGGAATGCCAAAAGGTCATAGGAACTAGGCCCCAGCACTGCCCACAGGCTATGGCTAACCAGGAGTGTCAGATTGAATGGTAGCTTAGAATTTTCCAAAAAAAAAATCAGGTTGCTGAAAGCACTCTAAAGTGTACTAATGAACTTTTTAGTTTCAAACACTTTATCTTTGTAATTAATTATGCAACACATTTGATTATTCAACCACACATACTACTCCTGCAGTGCTATCTAATAAAATTAATCTGGTTGTTATTGACAAACTACACTTGAAGTAATTACCAAGTAAACACAAAAACATGAAACATATATACAATTTTAAGGCACTATATAATAATATCTATTATGTGGTAGCTTAACCAGTAATAAATGGCTATATACTTTTATTATCAATGTCAAATTAACCAATTTCTGTGCATTTTATGAACCAAACATATGCCAAGTAGGATGGTCCAGATGCTGACTTGAATAAATCTGGCTCTGGGCAAGATGGAGTGGACATTGGATAAGACAGAGTAAGGAATAGAAAAGGCAGAGCAGGCACTGGATGAGACAGATCAGGTGCTGAGTAGCACTGCTCAGGTGCTAAATAAAATGGATCAAGTACCAAGCAGTGCTGCTTGGGTGCCTGGTTTGCAAGTCATCTGTTCTTTCTTTTGCTATTTTTAGAAATAAAACAATTGCTGGATCAGAAAAACAATGCCCCCATCAAAATTTGATTTACCATATGACACCCGTATGTTTAAAATATTTATGCAAGGTTCATCATGTAGATACAGACTTATTAAACCAATACACTTTACAAGTCCCAAATGTCATGAAAATGAAGCTGGATCTGGGGGTGTGTGAATGCACATTTCCAAGCTGCTATAGCATGAGTACATTTAATGATAATAGCCATATAATGCTCCATTTAAATAGCAAAATATTTGCAAATATCCACAGGAAAAGGCCAACAAAGGTTTAGAAGCGAATCAAATTCTATAAACACTGTATTCTATAAAAAAAGCAATTTTCCTCTATCACGTGACCTAGAAAATAATTGTAAAAATGCTCTATGCCAGGATCGAACTGGCGACATCCGCGTGACTATTTCATAGACGGTTTAACGCTATAAGCACGGCGCTCTAACCAACTGAGCTAATAGAGCCCCAAAATAGGGCTTCAGTGGGCTGTTTGAGCTCTCGATGAAAATATATAAAGAAAAGAATTATAATTACGCAAAGAGTTGCATTGCAAATAAAGGCTGTTTTATAAGCACTATAAACTGTAGTGCAGAGTGAAAAAAGTACTCACACATTTGAAAACCATTGTTAATTATATGATTTAGCATTGTAACTGGTACAGAGCCAGGGGTGATGTTGTTCTTGAACTTGGCTTCATGTGTATGCTATTGTTTAAATGTAAGTTGGGTACTTTTGTACTATGTAAATACCTGTATATTATGCTGTTAGGATGCTGACTAACTGTAGTGGTGGCCAGTGTGATTCATGTTTAATAAAACCATGAATTGGGAGCTAGTCATTCACAATCATATTTGTTTCTCAATGGCAGCAAACAATATCATTAGAAATGTAATAAATAACACTAATCTAGCACTAGCATTTCAGTGATGAGTAAAATAATAAATGTAGAGCTTGCATTATTAACTGAATACCATACAAGCCTGACATTTTATTGGCTACAAACCAGCATTGCAATATCCAATGCTACAAATATCTCAATCCTACTCTCAGGTCAACTTGCTGCCTCACTGGAATGGTCTATAGCAAATGAGCTTACATTTTAATGTTTATCAACCTTTGCAAGTGATGTGAGATGGTGTCATCACTGCTACTTTAGAATTTGTGAGCATTCATTTTTGTGCAAGGTATTCCTGGAATTGAATGTATGGCTGAGAACCATGGGTGGCTATTTTTGAATATGTCAACCAGAGTACATATGCACTGATTGCTGTGGTCAAGCTTTGTATTCAAGAATAAAAGTGCCCCTGTCCCATAACTATTCCATATTTTTCTGATTTTAAATTATTCTTTGATGTCAATTATCATGGACTAGTAAGAAAATATTTTTTATTATGGCTCTGAATGATGACGACATAACAGTAGCGCTGCCAGCTCTTGGATGTCTTGAGTTGCGCACACATGCGCATCGTGGACGGGGCGTGTTTACACAACAGCGAATTTTAAAAGGCGTGGTGGTGCACATCTCGCCAGTGTTGGTGTTTGGGGCACAGGAATATCGCGAGCATGGCAAATACACATGCCTGGATCACTACACATATTGCTGGAGGGATGGGCAGTTTGCGTTGGCGCTGGGCCTGGACAGCATGTTCAACCATGAGCCATCTGGGCGCGAAAACGTGGGGTTTGTCCGGGACATGGATCAGGCGCTGATCCGGTATGTGGCACTGCGCGACATTGCCGCCGGGGAGGAGCTGTGCATCTGCTACGGGCCTAACGTGTGGTTTGACGTGGTCAGTGATTGCGAGCCTGAAACGGCCAGCCCGCCGGAAACGGCACAAGACTTTCTCAGCAGTTTCGAGCTGTAGGCATCATGTGACGGCAATAAGTCTGCTTTGGAGCCACGTTGCACTTTTTCCTTTCCACTTTGGTAGTACCGCTTTTATTTAATTGTTCCTACTAGTTGTAAATGAGACGCAGTGCTGCCGAGCATGAGAAGCGAGCGTCGTCACCCGAGCTGCCGGCAGGGTTTATGAGCAGTCTGCTGGAGTTTGACGGGCGGCCGCGCAGCTGGTCGTCAAACCCGACGCAGCTGCCTCGGTCAGCTTCTATCCGCTCAAGCACGCGGGGAGCTCAGAGCATAGAATCACAGAGCCGGCCCCGAGTAGCCACGACGTTTTCCAGCGACGCCCGCCGCATCGAGGCGCGCGGACAGATATTCAGCCAAGAAGCACGGCCTGGCAGTGCATCGAGCATGACGCCATCAACGCGCAGACAGGCGTTGAGCATGATGAAGCCGCTGGCAGCACCGAATTTAGACCTGGACGCAGGGCGCAACACAGATTCGGAATCGACCCGAGTCTGCAGCAAGAGCAGCAGCGACAGTAGCTTTGGCGAGGAGGCCGGTATTATCAGCTCGTCGCTTCCCTACGATCTGTCGACGCTACCGCAGTCTCCGACGGCCAGACACCCGAAAGTAAAGGCCAGGGCACCGGCGACAGTTGACACGGCCGTTGCGCAAGGCGGCAGTAAGGCAGCTGTCAGCGACCAGGGCTCGTCGCTCTGGGCGGCAATTTCGCGGCTGTCGCTGGGAACATCGGCCAACGGCAGCCAGAGTTCACTAGAGTCCGGAGCCGGCGCACGCAAGTCGGCAGTCGATCATCTGAAGGCGATTGAGCGTAGGCAACCAAGTGAGCACGTGGCAAATTCATTAGAGGCAGATAGTCCTGCAGCAGGAAGCATTGTGGAGGAAGCGACATCCGCAGCAGAAGCAGAAACAGAAGTTCCGGCGCCAGCAGAAGCACCTGTGCCAGAGAGCGCATCGATGCCAGCGAACGCAGCAGCGGCGGTGGGCACGCCACGCAGCTCGAACTGGCTGGGGTGGTGGTCAGGGGCGAATAAGCTTGAAGCGGCAGTGGACCCGTCAAGGGCAAGCAAGCCAGAGGCCGAGGTAGAGCAGCCAAGGGCAAGTAGGCCAGAGACAGAAGTGGAACGGGCGGCTGCAGAGGTGGTGGTTGGCGATGCACAGCCGCACACGCATCCCGCAGGTAGTAGTGGGTCAACAAAGAACATGCTCCTCCCGGAATTCGATATTGGCGACGAGGGATTTGCGATGGACCTGCTGCCTCAAAGCCACGTGCTGGCGGGGCTGGGTAGCAGCGCAGGCAAACATGCGTGCCCGGATGGTGAGGCCGACGGCAGCGGGCCGCTACGAAAGCGGCTACGGACGCTCGGACGCGCGGCTGTGGACTTGGCCGTAGACTATGCGCCGGGCTGGGCGCGGTCAGCGCTACAGGGTCAGCGTGTGGCCGACACGCACGGGCAGCATCAGGGCAGCGGTGATGATGCGGCGGCGACAGTGGATCAGCTCAAAGAGCTGATGGACAACAGTGCGCGGCGAATCGGGCGGGTGGCGGTGATTGGCGTGCATGGGTGGTTCCCGATGCGCATGCTACAGATGCTGGCTGGCGAGCCGACGGGGCGGTCGGAGAAGTTCTGCGAGATGATGCGCGACGCGCTGACAGAGTATCTGCGCGAGAACCACGGCGTGGTGGTGGACGCCGGCGACATCAGCCTGTTTCCGCTTGTGGGCGAGGGCCGGATTCAGGACCGAGTGGAGCTGCTGTTGTCGCAGATCACGGATACGGAGGGGCCGGAGCCGGCGGCAGCGGCAGATGCACGCGGCGCGGCGGGCGCACAGGCAGTGCGGGCGGCCGAGGCGCTGATGCCGCCGCGAGCGGAGCGGGCGGCAGAGCTGCAGGCAGCCGACACGGTGTTTGTGGTGACGCACTCGCAGGGCACAGCAGTGTCGGCGCTGTTAGTGGAGCGGCTGCTGGAGCTGGGGCTGCTGGAGCCGGCGCGGCAGCGCGTGGCGATGCTGGCAATGGCGGGGATCGGGCACGGGCCACTGGTGCATCTGCGTGACAACGTGGTGATCAAGTACATCGAGTCGGCGGCGGCGCGCGAGCTGTTTGAGCTGATGGATCCAAGCTCGGCGCTGAGCCAGCGGTTCGTGGCAGCGCTGAGCACGGCGCTGCACCGTGGCGTGCGCGTGGTGTGTGTGGGGTCGTGGGTCGACGAGGTGGTTCCGCTGTACTCGGCAATCGTGCAGGGCGTGTCGCACCCGGGCGTGCTGCGTGCCGTGTACATCGATGCGCCGCACTATGCCGACGACTTTCTGACGGCGCTAATTGTGTTTGCTCTGCGCCTGCGCAACGCCGGCATCTACGACCACGGGCTGCTGGTGCATGTGAGCGGCGTGGTGGCCGGGTCGCTGTGGGGCCACTGGGGCCACTCGACCGTGTACGGCGAGCCGGCCGTGTACAAGCTGGCCGTGAAGTGGCTGCTGTTCTCTACCGCCGCCAAGCCGCAGCCCGCGCCGCGCGAGCATATGTCGTACCGCCCACTCAACGCTGCCGAGCCGCTCAATCCGTTCTTCCTGCCATGGATCATGCGCACGCTGTGGGATGACCCAGCCGTGCAGTCCAGCCGCAGCCTGCGCGCCGAGCTGCAGCGGCTAGCAGCGCTGTTTGACGTGTGGACGCCCGAGACAAAGGCCGGGCGTGAGCTGCGCTACCGCCTGGAGCCTGTGCGCGCAGGGCCGTGAGGCAAATTGTATTTTAGCTTTTAGAAACGAAATGTATTCCAGTCTGTTCGCAGAGCCACGCCCTATGCGCCCCGCCGCTCCGCCGCCTTGTACTCGATAAACGCACGCAGGTTCTGTGCGGCCAGATCGCAGCGGTCGCGCAGACGCCGGCGCGTGCGGCGATCAACGGACTTGGCCAGGCGTCGCATAGGCGCATACATCTGGCGCAAGCGCGGCAGAAGTGCCTCGCCCACAAACACGGGCGCGTCGTAGTCGTAGGCGGCGTCGCCGTAGACGTCAAACAGCAGGTCCAGGGCCTCAGCCACGGGCTCCACGGCCACGCGCTCGCCCTGGACAAATGCGTGCAGCGAAGCGCCCACAACGTCGTCGACCAGAAACAGTCCGATGCGACGGTTTGTGTCGACAAACCCGGGCTGCCGCCGTGCGACTGTGCCCAGCACGCCAACGGCCTTCGATCGCAGACCCGGCGTGGCTGCTGTGCGCGCCACGTGCATCAGCCCCTCGATGTGCTCAGGCGTTGCCGGCACCGCGCCGCCAACGCCGCGCGCCAACGTCCACATGCAGCCTATGACCGGGTCCAGGATCGCGCCTGCGGGCGGGCCCGCGCTCAGCACGCGCTCGGCCACGGCCACCAGCACATGCCACCATTTGGCCACACTGTCGCCGTGCGCAGTAAACCACGGGCGCAACGACTCCTCAACCACTAGCAGGAAGTTGTTGAAGCACGCTAGCGCGCGCTCGTGCAGCGCTGCAAAGTCTGCGGCCACCGATGCTATCCGCGCATCGTCGTCGTTGCCGGCAGTGGCCAGAGCGGCGGCGGTTGGCTCGGCCAGATGCAGCAGTGGCGGCAGAATGGTGTCA